ACTGGCATCCCTCAAACATTGGTTTGTCGAGTCTGCGAAGAGAGCCAAGTCCCCCCACAGCAAAGCTGCTGGTGCACAAGGTACCCATCGCAAGTTTCTTTCGGACAAGCTAAGCCCGTCCAAAGGGCAGGATACCGGGAAGAAATCTGCGCAGTCTTCTTCGGCTGGCCCCGCAACGGGAGAGTTGTCGACACCGACACAGATAAAGCGCGCTTCCAATGCCAGCAGCCTAGCCCGCAGTAGTACTTCCTATCCCAATCATCGCCACTCTTATCCTCGCCAGACTCGACCTTTGAGCACTAATACAAGTCACCGGAACTCCTTGTCTCCCTCTCCAATCACGCCTAGGGGTTCCTACAGGCGATCCTCTGCTGGCCTGCGAGGCCGCAAGTCAACCTCGTCTTCGATTTCCTCAATTCGCAGCATCCACCATACGCACACCCATTCAAAGGCGTCGTCTGTTTCGTCAAACAGTATCGGCTCAGCATCAACCCCGACAGCTCGGGCCTCCAGATCACCTCATTCCTCCGTTAAAGTTCTCCCTACCACGCCCAGCGCCTCGTCCCGTTTCCCCAGCAATATCCGCTTGGTTCGAGGTATGAACAATGGGTTCCACGAGGTGGATGATCCCAGTGGTAGAATGACTTCTATTTTCAACGAATCGGCACCTGCGCCCTTGTTATATTCACCATCGTCAAGTCTTGTGTTTGCACGCCGCAAACGATCTGCATTCAAGGGGCCTATGGTCCACACTACGAATCTCATGGTCTCTGGCGGCATGGCTGCCCCGGAGTTTCCCCGTAGCGGTGTTGCCGTCGCGGAGACCTCAAGCGCAGCTCGACCTGTGGCGCGAAAGAGCCAAATCATAGAAGAAGACATAGAGGAAGATGAGGACATCGAAGAAGTCGACGCATTTACGGGAACTGAAGAGGAGCCTGGATCACCCACTGAAATGAAGACAGATGAACACATAGGGTTGGAGTATACTAGTGACTTATCTGGGCGAAGCTCTAAGCCGGTTCTAGCCCCAGCTCCTGACCTTGATACCAGCCCATTGCGTCCCCCACGCTCGTCTTCACTAAAGGCATCAAAGTTGAACGCAGCAACAGGCAATTCTCCGAGATCAGTGCGTTCCGGGAAGAGAGCCGTGACATAATATTAAAGGGTTGGAGGCATCGACTATCACTCCTTTCACTCTACTGGTTGGCATTTTCGGTTTCTTTCTTGTTATACAATTTATTTTATACCCCTGCGGCTATGCGGCGCTAGTTTCTTTGGACAGTATTCTTGGGCATCTCTGGTCTGGGTAAAAGGTGTTGGATTTGAATGCTTTACAACCCGTCTCTGTGGCTTCCCACGACTCTCTTTGCCTTTCCCTTTTTTTCCTCTGTTCCTCCTTTCACTTCCTTCCAATTCTAGGCTTCCTTCATCTAATTCAAATTTACACTACCATATTAAGCACGTCCCTCCCTTCACATTACGATCTCCTTTCTGTGTATCCTATTTTGCATTATCTTCCTTCGTCAACCCTGATTCATCTCTGCTGAGTCTAATCTGACGGTCATATTAGGACTAGCGTGTTTTGAGATATCCCCTATTACATACGCAAATATTCTTCTCTTCTCGTTTCTTTTTCTCTTCCATGTTGTTTCTTCACAATAACGTGCCCCAAGGCTGGATCTCGGCTGGCACTGGGAATGATATCCATCCAGTGATCAATGCATTATCGTTTGAATTGACCTGTCATTCATCGTTGACTTCCTGCTTTACTGTGTGTCCGTCTTGTTTGCATATAGATAGAGTAGACGTCAGACATTTATATTGTTCCAAAAATCGAAGGCCTACCATTTCTATGAGTTTAAGATTCTATCACATATCTGTAGAAGAGATTAATCAAATCATAGTAGTTCTAAAGGCTCGACAATTGGCTCTAATCTCTTCAGCACACGCTTCTATTATAGGTCACTTGACTCTGTTTATATTATTCTGATTCTACTTTCATGGGTTCTGAAATATATAATTGGCACTATAACATATCGTGTTAAAGACCAAGTAATAGAAGTAACTTTCGAGATCACCTTACAACAACCTCTTTCGATTGGCCCATGGCACCAACTTCGACGTCTTTCTCCTTAGAAACACCATCATCCCCTGCCTGCAGTCCAACCTCGCTCTCTCCAATTCTATCGACCGTATCCCGATATGCAGGAACAAAATTTACCGCCACGGCATACGTCCACGCAACCACCATGAACATAGTCGGCACAATCATTGCAAATCCAGTATTATTCCGCATATCAGCTACATGCCCCAGGATTGGGGGCACGACAGCACCACCGCTAACACCGGCAACGATGAACCCAGAACCGCGCTTGTAGTGACGACCAAGGCCGCGAATACCCAGGGCGACGATTGTGGGGAAGCAGACGGATTCAAAGAACAGAGTGATGAAGAGCATTGCTTTGATTTGAGATCTATTAGTTCGTGCAACATAACCAAGACGGTTTTGGGCAAGAGCACTGGGGACGTACCTAGGCCGGTCTTGTATCCTTGAGTTGTTGACGCTGCTATGAATGCTACGGTACAGGAGAGGTATACTAGGAATACCCAACGAGCCTTCACATATCTCATGAAGAATGCACCTGCGAACCGACCGACGGCAAAGGCTCCCTGGGCGCCGGCCAGGTACTTGGATGCGGTGGAATCCTCAGTGCCGGGCCACGTTTCGGTCACATAGTTGATGAAATATCCGGCAATAGCCACTAAGTAATTAGAATATGTTAGATTGGCTCAGGTCATTTGGTTGAGATACAGTAATTTTAGCTAGGAAGAGAGTAAATGATCTACTCACCTTGGGCACCGGTATATGTGAACTGAGCTAGAGTGGCATGGAACAGTTTGTATTGTTTCCGGAAAGGCTTATCCTGCTCGCCAACATGGGTGGAGGCAACCTGGAACGCCATGTCCTCATCTGTGACTTCAGGGATGTTTGAAACGAAAAAGACACCAGCAAGAAGAAACACAAAGATACCGATGGCAAGGTACACCCATTGTACACTTTTGAGGGCATCGATGTCGTCACCCGTATCGGTGAAGAACACGTACGATGCTAAAGCCGGGGCGACACAAGTACCGATTCCATTGAAAGCTTGTGCAAGGTTGATTCGAATCTCGGCATATTTTGGTGGACCACAGACTACACAATATGTTTTAGTGAGCGTGATTTTACTGAGGCGTCCATGCCTCTGAGATGAGAACCTCGACGTACGCACCGGCAAGATATGGATTGGCTGCTGTCTCGAGAGATCCCAAGCCCGAACCGATGACGAGAGTTGCAGCGCAGAACCCTCCGAACGAGCGATTTAGGCCCGCGGGCCACATGCAGAGGGCGCCAATACCGTAGAGAACCAATCCCATAATAAACACGGATTTGTATCCAAAATGACGCAGCATATAGTTCGCATATCCTAAGGATGCCAGAGGATAGGCCCTAATCTTATGAATATAGTTCCCTATTCGAAGTTGTGAGGCTTACCCAAAGTACGCAGCCTGAAGACCAGCCGAACGAGTCCGAGTGATACCTAGGGTGATCTGGAAGTGTTTATTGAGCGTATCCAGCAGTCCATAGGCGAACCCCTGACGGACCTTAGCAACTAGATATGGCAGTTGTAAGACAGCTGCACCACAAACTCACCCATAAAAAGAAGAGAATAGTGACGAGACATAAGGGCCATAGGCTTTGGCGTAAGGTGAGGGTCGCTGCCGAGGTTGTCCTCCTATTATCGACTTGAAACCCGGATCGGGTCTGCAGGAAATGTAGCAACCCCATTGTTGCAAATGTGAAATAAAGAAGCGGTACCTTCAGGGTGTAGAATAATTGATCATAATGGCTAAAGGTTTACGGACGGGCGAGATTGTCACACCGACGTCCTTTTATATTTTTCTTCTTTCAATATATGGTGCATTCTGGGGTCATAGACACAGACCTCATCCAATGGCGCCATCTCGACATATGCTACTTTTGCTTAGGTCGTGGATCGAGTCATTCCTGGTAAGAAGGCCGCGGAGAGGGGGAATGTTATGGCCCTCATTGGGGTAGAGAATAAGATAATCGATCCCCAGACTTTCACCCCGCAAAAGACAGCATCCAGTCTGGGGAAAAGATCGCCGCGTCAGTCCACCACTAAGGCCGTGTTATCAAAAGACGTAACTTCAGTTCAAGACCGCCGCTGATGGCTCTTGGCTTGAAACCTTCCAGTCTGGGCTTCAATTTCAATTTTCCCCGCATGGCTTTGCCTTCCCAGGAAATGGCCATGGTAATTCGCTCATGAACGGCCGTCACTCATTTATCCCGTCCGTCAATTAGCCTAAACTAACCCGGTATCGTCATTGATGGCAATACTAAGTAGCATGTCGCTCTCTTTTGCACCGAGAAAGAGAAAGTGTATGGCTGAAGAATGCGGCGATCCCCCTCATTGTCTCGTGAAAGGTCAGGAGACCCATGTCATGGGCGGAATGGAAGGATTGTCCTCAATGCAAGGTTAGTCCAGCGTCGCATCGGACTAATACGTAGGTACTAGGTGCATGTAGGAAATGTAGGAAGGTAGTATTCCGTCTACGTTCATCGAAAAATTCGAGAATCAAGTCACGGGAAATGCAACGTGACTCAGCTCTGTCAACACCAAGGCTTTGTTTTCGCGGGAGATAATTAAGAGGGAGGGGAATGGATGGGGTGGATTTGAGAGATTGAAAAAAAAAAAAACCAAATATAAATCTTATTCTTTGCAACAAGAGAAAATGATCTGACAACCCATAGGCCGTAGCTTCGATAATCCTGGCTAATTCATTTCTTCATTGCTCTCTACTGCGGAGAACATCTAACACGTTTCATACATGTCATGAGTGTCCAAGAAAAGAAGGAAAAAAATGAAATCATCGACTCAAGGGGTCGATATCTATATCTATCGTGCCACCCCACTCGACCTCCCATCCTGCAACATCTATGCCCTCTTAGGCTTGGACGCAGCTCCATTCTGCTGACCTGCACCCTTCGAGGTTGTAGTGTACATCTGACGCTCGACGAATTTAAGTGTCTCATCAATAATTCTTGCAACTTGTTAGCTAGTCAGAACCCACAGCAAGGTAAATGAGACTTACATAACGGGAGCACTAATGGCCACGACTGCCTTCCATTCCACCCAGTTTAGCGGCAGAATCGAGAACAACCCCTGTAAAAATGGAATGTACAAGATGGCAAAGTGCAATGCCATCGAGAGAATGATAGCGTAGACCAGCATCATGTTGTTCCACAGAGCGAAAGTGAACAGGGACTCGCTAGACGACAGGGCGTTCATAGCGTTCAGCATCTCGATTACCACCAGGATGGACAATGAAACCGTAGAAGCAGAACGAGACATGTCGTTCGTAAACATCTCACAACCAATTTCGGGGAACTGTGCGGAGCACTTGTGGAAATGAGACTATAGGTGGGGTTAGTACATGGTAATAACATACAAGAGAGAGTTTTGAGGGTTGTCGCTGAGCTTACCAGTTGCCAGAACGAAATCTGGGGCCCTTCTGGGTTGTAAAGGAACCACCAAACGTAGCCAAAGACGGTGGCAGCACCGACGTATGTACCGATAACCAGATATCTGAACAGTAGCCAGCCACCAACAAGGGGCTCATCACGCTTACGAGGGGGGCGTCTCATCACATCATGATCAGGTGGGTTGAATGACAGAGCAGTCGCAGGCAAGCCGTCGGTGACCAAGTTAACCCACAACAACTGCACGGGTACCAGCGCTTCAGGCATACCCAAAGCCGCCGTCAAGAAGATTGATACCACTTCTCCAATGTTAGACGAGATAAGATACCGGATGAACTGCTGAGTGTTGCTGTAAATAGATCTTCCTTCCTCAACAGCTACAGTAATAGTTGCAAAGTTGTCATCTGCCAGCACCATGTCAGCAGCCAGCTTAGCCACATCGGTACCGGTACCCATAGCTACGCCAATATCAGATTTTTTCAGGGCAGGCGCATCGTTGACTCCATCACCAGTCATCGCGACCACATGGCCCAGAGACTGAAGGAGATCGACCAACTTAGATTTGTGGCTGGGCTCAGTCCGAGAGAAAAGAGAGGCCGTCTTAACAGCCTCGAGTTTCTCACTATCAGAAAGGCCATCGAACTCCCTACCAGTAAAGCTCTTACCGGCGAGATCTTCATCTTCAGCGAAGACACCAATCTGGCGGCAGACGGCCTCAGCAGTGTTTCGGCTATCGCCGGTGATAACGATCACTCGAATACCAGCAGCAAGACACTTTTTGATAGAATCAGCAACCTCGAGGCGCGGGGGGTCAAGCATGGCGGCAAGGCCAATGAGAGTCATGTTCCGTTCCAATTGAGCGTAATCATCGGACGTCTGGGCGTTGCGCAGGAGGGGGTTGGCGCCCACATCGTCAACACGGGCCAAAGCCATCACACGAAGGCCACGGTTACCATACTCAACAATCTCGGCAGAGAGTAGATCGGCGTGTTCTTTAGTAATAGGTACACGGGGCCCATCGGATCCCAGGAGAACATGGGTACATCGCTCAAGGATGGATTCAGGAGCACCCTTAACCAAAAGACTTTGTTTCTTCTCAGTGCCAACAAGGACAGACATACTCTTTCGATCGCGAGAAAACTCATAAGTTGCCTTCAGCGGCAAGCGACTCTCATAATAGGCACTCGAAGCACGGAGTCTCTGAGAGGTAGGGAGCTGGGATATTTTCGCATTGGTAGCGGCATCGTCAGTTCCAATCTTCTCGACCAGGACGCGCAAGGCTCCCTCGGTCGGCTCGCCGATACAGGAGTAGACACCACTCTTGGCATCGTGGGATAGATTCGCACTGTTACAAATAGCCATTACCTCGGCCATCTGTCGAATAGTGGAGGATTGAACTGCGAGATTTTGCAAGACCTTGCCATTTTGGGAAAGATTGCCCTCCGGTGCAAAAGTTGTGCCTTCAACATCAATCTCTTGAACACTGCTGCCAGTCTTGTCCAGGTAGACGACCTTGTTCACACTCATCTGATTAGTGGTCAGAGTACCGGTCTTGTCTGAGCAGATAACGCTGCAACTTCCTAAGGTTTCCACAGAAGGAAGCGACCGAACCACCGCGTTTTTATTGGCCATCTTACGAGTACCGAGAGCAAGACAAGTAGTGATTACAACAGCCAAGCCTTCAGGAATGGCAGCCACACCAAGAGAAACCGCAATCTTGAGGTAATAAATAGCTCCCTTGGTCCAACCGCCGTGTGACGGGTCGTTAAAGTGCTCAATGTTGATTACCCACACCAGAATACAGATGACTGTGATCACTTTGGCAAGCATGTCACCGAAATCATTGATTTTCTGCTTCAGTGGTGTTGGTTCCGAGATCTGAGACGTGATGCTATCATGGATATCACCGATGGCAGTTGATCCGCCGGTCAAAACCACCAGGGCTGTAGCGTGTCCATTGACCACTGTGTACCCGAGAAGAGGATGTTGGTCTGATCTTGCTTGACAGCCTGCTTATCGCGAATGGCACTAGTATCTTTCCCAACGCTCTCGCTCTCGCCCGTCAAGATAGCTTGGTCGACCCGGAAACTGTTGCTATGGACTGCAATCAACCTGCAGTCGGCAGGTACACGATCTCCAACCGCGATATGAATTATGTCTCCAGGAACCAGGTCTTCGGCCTTGATACGCTGAGTTTTCCCATCACGTACGACAGTAGCCTCATTCGCAGAATATTCCTGGAGCGCAGCAATTGCTTTCTCCGCGCTGGTTTCTTGCGTCACGCCAACGACAGAATTGAGGATCAGGATCGTCAGGATCTGTGGTCGCACCAAAGGTTATCAGCGCTTTTCTAACAATGCAATGAACTAAATATGTTCAGGACTTACCACAACCGGGTCAACAAAGGCAGTCCAATCGTCCCCTTCTTCAAAGAGAGCCAAGACAAAAGACAGTGCAGCCGAGCCTAGAAGAATGAGGACCAGTTGATCTTTGAATTGTTCCAGGATGAGCTCCCAAAGGGGGGTGGGAGGGTCTTCCGCAAGCGCTACACGAAGGACGAGACTGAGTCAATTTGTGCTCTCAGTCGAACATTGGATCTGTGTGACTAACCATTTGCTCCATGTTTTTGCCTGGCTTTCAACGCCTGTTCCTGCGATAGACCCGAGTGCTCTGAAACACTAAAGTGTTCCAGCACCTCCTTTGGGGAATAGAGGTAAGAATGCTCCATGATGAACCACAACCGTCAAGGTTCTGACTAGGGTTGGGAGCAAGGGGAGAAGGAAAAGAGAGAAAGGTTTGGAGAAAAGTTCGCAGATGCTAAAGATCAAGACATGAACGCCAAGTGGCCGGATGATTGGTAACGAAACGAGTACTGGTAAGGTACTATCGGGAAGAATCTAGAAGAAGGGAGGGAAAGATAGCCGTGCTCCGAAGTGTATTGCGGAGAAAAGAAATTTGGCAACCTTTTTTTCCCGTTTTGATCGATAACAACACCCTTACGGAGTAGTCGAGATGATAATGATTGTTATAATTATAACGAAGGTGATATGACCGGGGGAAGGGGGGAAAGAATTAACCTGGAAATTGGCCTCCGGGTTAAGACGTGCGTTTTGAAGCCGAGAGAGTGGATAAGTACCTGGAGTCAATAATTTATCGGTCCCCTGTATTCAAACGTGTTCTTTTGCGGTCTGCTGCCATGGGTCTCTGGATCCATTGGTCCCGTTTCGCCGCCGCAAAGACTGTCTGGTTGGTAGTAGTGGACCAAAATAAGCCTACAGGGCTGAACGGTAAGATAACCACATATAGCGGATGACCCAGCATGACCGCTACTTTGCTACGTCAACTTGCTTCTCATTGCTTCTCAATAGTAAAGTTAACATACTGGAAATTTCATAGTTACTCGTACGAATCTTATTATTCCACCAAATCGCAAGGTAATATCAGAAATATCTCATGGTGGAAATAGTCTAGACGTGTGGAGGGCGAGGTATGTACTAGTATGCATGTACGGTACAATACTGCTGTAAAATACGTGTATTGAATCGCCCCGATCTCCACTCAGAAATGTTGATGCCTTGCCCCAAGACCCCTGCTCGGTCCTGGAACCATGTCTCCAAGAGGATGATGGGGCCTATGCCCTGTGCTAGAAGTACCTACTTTAGTAGTACATATACATACTAAATGGTCAGTCGCTGCAGACTCCAGAGTACGGTGTATGACGATGTGGATGGTAGAGTGATATTACGTTGCTAGGTCCCTATCTGACCTATCTCAGGGGACTCGTCTCCGGAGAAATCCCTTATGCCACTGCCATCTTTCAAAGGTTGGTAATTAATACCCTTAGGTACGACAACCGCACGGCATATCATAGATTGGACTTCGTTTTAGCCCCCCTCTCCCCTTTTCTTCTCATTCTTGAGCTTATTTATTCATCTACCACTGTTGGTTACTCTTGCCAACTGGGCTGCTTCTATGCCTCAGCATGTCGAGCATTAGGTGCCTAGAAGAAGTGTTGTATGTATGTACGATTGAAAAGGTATATAGACACAGCCCAACAATCATCAATCCTTGTCTGTCAGACTTGTTGCCAGATGCAGTCAGCACAGGCTTCAATCTCAGCAATTGATCTTTGCACACCCACAGGAGGTTCACTTTGATAGTTGCCAAAGCCTTCATTAATGCTACATACACATTCATACCAGAGAGGCGGAGAGGATTATAATGCGGAACGAATTGAAGTAGCTCATGCTAGGGCACCCGAATCGGTCTGATCTGACATCACAGTTCAGGTAACTAATACATAAGATGGATAATAAGCGGATGCGCCATCGCGCAGTCCAGTCAATAATGATGAGGGTCTTTCATGCCTCAGGCAGAACGGTCCCTATTGGGCCTGCTTGCCTCAGGCGCTTGGGGGCACCCCCGGCCAAACATCACAAACAATAGGCCGCGCCCGCCTCTCGCTAAAGCTGGCAGGCCGTCACCTCACCGGTTCATCATCTGTTGCTTGAGGATCGCATCTGTCAAACCTCTGGTGAATTCCACATCCCCATTCCATCTGTGTTGTCTTTTTGCCCTCTTCTTTCCCCACACCTCTTTTCTCTTCTCTTATCAACTCCTTTCAACCACCCTACTCTGTCTTGTGATCCTCCTATCTGTACCCTATCTTCCAGCATGACTTCTGAGGTATGTTGTTCCAGCCTGACCCCTCCTCTTCTATTGTTTTCTGCCCTCGTGCTGCTGCGATAGCGGCTGGACGTGTTGATGCATGCATCTCACTCTTGGAAACTCTCTATCGTTTTTGACGTGGTCTTTACAATAAAGTAAATCAATACTAACAATATTTCTTCATTCACAGCGTGAGAAGTAAGGACCCAGACCGACTCAATCAACAACAGATAACGGAGATACTAACCCCCTTTCTCCAGCAAGACATTCCTCGCCCGCCTTTGCGAGCAGGCTGAGCGTTACGATGGTAAGATCCCTTGAATGGCTGGACCTCGGTACCCTGTATACTAATTTCCTCTCGTTACAGAGATGGTCACGTACATGAAGGTGAGTAGCAGCCTACTAAACGCTTGTTGTGTCAGTCGTTTAAGACGCGATCGCTAATGACCTAACAGGAAGTCGCCAACGTATGTAACCATTTCGCTTTACACCCTGAGATCGCTTCCCCCGCACCCCTTTTCTTGCCTTGCTGACCCCGCATCAGATTGGAGGCGAGCTTACCGTCGATGAGCGTAACCTTCTCTCCGTTGCCTACAAGAACGTGGTCGGTACCCGCCGTGCTTCCTGGCGTATCATCTCCTCCATTGAACAGAAGGAGGAGTCCAAGGGTTCTGAGCAGCACGTCTCGATCATCCGTGACTACCGCCAGAAGATCGAAACCGAGCTGGAGAAGGTCTGCCAGGATGTTCTTGACGTTCTGGACCAGTCCCTCATTCCCAAGGCCGAGACCGGCGAGTCCAAGGTTTTCTACTACAAGATGTAAGCCTGTTGGTTTTGGGAACGCCCCATGAATGATGCGGTTAATCAAATTCAATAATAGGAAGGGCGACTACCACCGTTATCTTGCTGAGTTTGCTTCTGGCAACAAGCGCAAGGTTGCTGCTACTGCTGCTCACGAGGCCTACAAGGTATGCCTGATGGTTGTTCTCTCGTACTGACGCTCCTACTTACGATCTGGACTAGAACGCCACCGACGTTGCCCAGACTGACCTCACACCCACTCACCCCATCCGCTTGGGTCTTGCATTGAACTTCTCCGTGTTCTACTACGAAATCCTGAACTCGCCCGATCGTGCCTGCCACCTTGCCAAGCAGGCTTTCGATGATGCAATCGCCGAGCTCGACTCGCTCTCGGAAGAAAGCTACCGTGACAGCACCCTTATCATGCAGCTTCTGCGTGACAACCTTACTCTTTGGACCTCTTCCGATGGCCAGGAGCCTGAGGGTGCAGCTTCCAAGGAAGACAAGCCTGAAGAGGAGTCTGCCCCTGCTCCCGAGGATAAGGGTGAGGAATCCAAGCCTGCCGCCCCTGAGTCTTAAAGCGACAAATTGGACGTTTTCTTTTGTATCAAAAACAGCGTTGTGCGCTCGGCGCCTATTTGGAGAGGGTTCGGATTCTCCCTGGAAGTGTTTACGATGGTCTGTTTTAGCTGCGTGACTGGTTTGGACCGGCACGTATCTTCCACTTGTTCGGGATCGTGTGGGTCGGCCGGCGGAGTTTGATATTTGGAGAGCGAAGAAAAGGGGCTGAGCGGAATTTATCTCTCTTTTACTGTTTCTATTCCCAACCCCCAGAGCAAGATACAATGTGTTATTCCACCCCCCCCCCCCTTTTTTTGTTCTTTTTTTTGTGCTTGCTTGCCCGCGTTGTCTCTACTGTTTTCTCGTACATCATCCCATAAGCCCCGCGAATATTTGAATTTAAACTTAGTAGTCGTTCTACCCAAAGACGTGCGACTTTATAGAGTCGACGCCCTGAAGGATGAAACATACCCCGTCTTTTTAATTCGATGGTATCATTGTTAGAAATACCATGCACACTTGTGGTACAGTGATCGTTTTCATCGCGTAGTCTGAGCCTGCTTCTCATAGACTCGCTCTTTGTTCTTGTTCTTTCATACATTCCTCAAGCTGGTAAAGTTCCGCCCAGTAATTGCTTGCTGGAAAACAGGCAAAACGCCTAAGCTTCAAGGTATGAGCACAATGATTACCAGCCAACTGTTATGTGCAAGCTAGTTGAATATGCTTTCCTTCACCGACAAGTAGACAGTATACGCAAACTCCGGTGGTAGGAACGATTTCCGAGTTCTATATGTGTAAAAGTTTTCCTCTATCGATCTTTTAACTTGTGTCGCTCAACTTGACCAAAAAGTTAAAAATAAACATACTTGGCCAGGGCTAGTAAAGCACGTCTCTATCGTATTAATATATACTACCAGAAGAGAGGAGGCAAGGGAGAGGGAGAAGAGAAGGGACGCAAAGGAGCTGTTTAAGGGTGGATGTACAAGAGTTGGCAAGTATCGTGTCATACTGACAGGGGGCTGGCAACTATGAGAGCACAGAAAGAAGCAAAAAAGAAATGAGATGAAATGATCAATCACATGAAATCGTCGTCACCCAGTCCATCATCACCATTATCGTAATCAGCATCAAGCTTGTTATCTCTGGAAGTAACCAGTGACACCTTCGTCTTGGCTGCCTTGGACTTCTTGCTACCTTTGTCAGCAGCGCGCTCCTCTCTCATCTTCTCGTTGCTCATAGTTGTCATAGCACTAGCGATCTTCTTGACATCGGCACTGTTCAGCTCCTTGACAAGTTGTTTAGCAAACTCCTGCGCCCACAGGGAATAGTGAGGCTTCTTCGAGTGGGGAGTCAGGAGCGGGATAAGGGTGGAAGTCAGACGAGCGAACTGGTCCTTAGTGGTAGGCTTGAACAGAGGCATAGCAGAGAGATCGACGGCCTGCGTCGGGTCGGCCGAGTCACTAATAACGATAGCCTTGGGAGCTCCGCGGTTCCGGTTGAGGTCGATGTCACCGAACAGATCCTCGGCGTGCTTGAGATCAGCATCCTTCTGGGCGCGGCGCAGACGGGCTCTCTTGTCGGCATCGTCCTCATCCTCGCTCTCGGACTCATCCTCCTCGGCCTTCTTTTTGCGCTCCTCCTTGTGCTCCTGTATACGCTGCGACTTGCTCTTCTTATTTGCCGCAGCCTCGGCATCAGCCTTAGCTTTGGCTTCGGCCGCCTTGGCTGCCTTTTCCCGCTCTACTTCGGAGTCTTCGGCGGCATCCCAGGAGTCGAGAACCTGTTGGGTAATTCCAGCTGATTAGCAAATTGAGTTTCCGAGTGATGGCCATATGTGCTATATATGGTGGGGTAAAATAGCAGAAGAGAAAAATTTACCCACCTCCTCTTCTTCTTCATCATCGAACCTGCGACGGGGGGCCACGGGAGGAGGGGAACCACTGTCCTCCTCATCGTCTGCGGCAGAAAAGTAGGAACTGTCAGTAAAGTGCCGTTGTAAAGAAAGCAGATTGTATGCGGAAAGTCCACAAATTTCAGATATCCTTACCCCACCGTTCGGGCGCCATGGCTAAGTCAAGGATGTATAAAGCGGTAAAAGCTTCAAACTTCTAATGACTCGATAACAGGACGAGCAAGTGCCGTGTGTCTCAACGAGAGGGTCGTGGTGGGCGAATCAATAACCCGAAGGCGATTTTGATGTGGGCGAGTCCCTCACAATAACTTCACGATAAAACAATCTGGTGGTGGGGCTAGAGAAGGTCACGTGTACCGATACCGTTCACGCCTATTCATCAGGTGTTGGGAGTTAACATCACTATAAGATATACGGAGTATACCTACGTTGGTAGACTGTGGCCACTAGTCACGGTCTACATTGGGGAGTTTCGTTTTCTTTACTTTTTTTTTGAATTGCACTTTTATTGCATTACTGCCACTATATCTGGCCTAATCGAATCGTCATCATAAATCTTAAGAGAATATCATCTGTAGTGCTTTGTGCAGCTCGTAGAGCCTGCAAGTAGCGAAAACCCGGGCATGCAGTGCGGTCCCGAGTCCAACCATCTTTCGATAATGTGCAAGATTGGTTGGTGGACGTCATATAATCATACGGTTCATTTACAGGTTGACAGAAGTGCGGAACTTTTCACCAGCATAGACGGCATTGTCGCCAAGCTCCTCCTCGATACGGAGGATCTGGTTAAGCTTGGCCAGACGCTCGGAACGAGCAGGAGCACCGGTCTTGATCTGGCCAGAGCGCAGACCGACAGCAATATCGGCAATAGTGACATCCTCAGTCTCACCAGAACGGTGGGAAACCATGACACCCCAGTTGTCGGCGTAGGAGTCCTTGGCAGCCTGGATGGACTCGGTAAGAGTACCGATCTGGTTAACCTTGAGCAGGAGGGCGTTGCAAGCCTTGGTCTCGATAGCCTTCTTGATACGCAGGGGGTTGGTAACGGTCAAGTCATCACTATGGAGTTCATGTTAATATGTTTTGAATATGACACTGTAAGGAAGCCGACTACATACCCAACAATCTGGAAGTCAGAAGTCTTGTAGAAGTAGCTCCAGGCCTCCCAGTCGTCCTCAGCGAAGGGATCCTCAATGCTGACAATGGGGTACTTGCTGGCAAGAGACTTGTAGAGGTCGGCCAGCTGCTCGTATGTGAGCCACTTGGCAGAGTCGCTGTCGGGGTTCTTGAAGTCAAGGTCGTACTTCTTGACATCGGCCTTGTAGAATTCGCTGGAAGCAACGTCCATGGCAATCTTCATCTGGCCAGTGTAACCGGCCTGCTCAATGGCCTCAGTGATGAGGTCAAGAGCTTCCTCGGCAGTCTGGATATCGGGAGCAACACCACCCTCGTCACCAACATTGCCAGCAGACTGGCCGTACTTCTTCTTGGCGAGAGCCTTGAGCTTCTGGTAGACCTCAGCACCCTGGCGGAGAGCCTCGGAGAAAGAGGGGGCAGAGCTGTCAGCCAAGTTAGTATAGCTGTAGAAGAAGGGGGTACATCTGGACCGAGTACTTACGAAGGAACAATCATGAACTCCTGGAAAGCCAGACGGCCACCAGCGTGAGAGCCACCGTTCAGGACGTTCTGGAAGGGAACAGGAAGCACATAGGGCTTCTTGGTACCAGCGAGGTCGGAGATGTGAGCGTAGAGAGGGACACCCTTCTCAGCGGCACCAGCCTTGGCAATGGCCAAACTGACACCGAGGATGGCGTTAGCACCGAGGTTAGACTTGTTGGCAGTTCCATCAAGCTTGTTGAGGAACTCGTCGACCTTGGACTGGTCCTTGACATCGAGGTTCTCCTTGATGACGGCGGGGGCAATGGTATCATTGACATTGGCGACAGCTTTGAGAACACCTGTTCTCCGTCACTACGATCAGCCTGCGTTGCACCCGACAAGCATTCGGGGAGCATCTAGTACATACCCTTTCCACCCCAGCGGGTCTTGTCACCATCACGGAGCTCGTGAGCCTCGTGCTGGCCTATGATTTAATTGTCAGTACGGTAGAAAGACGACAAGGAAGTACATAGAAAGCTCCTGTAGACTAGTGGGGCCAACTAACCAGTGGAAGCACCAGAGGGAACGATAGCGCGGTGCAAACCAGTCTCGGTGACGACGTCCACCTCAACGGTAGGGTTACCGCGGGAGTCGTAAACAGAGCGGGCGTGGATCTTGGAGATAGGCATTTTGACGAGCTGAGGGATTGGTCAGTCGACTAAGTTTGAGGACGGAAGAAAAGAGAAAGAAAGGGAGGAGAGACGACATATATAAACGAAGGGAATGGAAAATCAAAACAGTTCTGGATTGGTGTTGGGAGGAGACTAGCAGCGGGGGTTGTGTTCACCGACGACCCAAAAAGAATGATCGGATGGTTCAGTGACGGAGTACAAGGTAGAGGCAGTGGTGGGGAGATCCAATTTCAGTTGACCGAGAGTCAGGAACAGTTACAACGGTATTCAAAAGGGAACGCCAATCAGTATAGCACGATTGTGGTATGACGGCGAGACACGATAGAACGATCATCGAGTTTTCTGGTCGCTCTCGCCCTCGTCTCTCTTTCCCATGGAGGGGTCATGGTTACCGTAACAAAATAGTGGGATGGTGGGGTAGGAGGTCATGATCTCAGTGGAAACAAAACAACCAAACTCACCTATGGGAGATGACAATAAGAGGGCAGAGTTAGGAGACTAGGAATGGGACGGTCGTCGTTGGAGAAATGGAAACAAATAACAAGTAAATAAAGAAGAAGGAGAGAATTAAATAGGTGTCAACAATTAAAGTTGGAAAGGTCTAGTTCTTGTACCATCCTCGTCCTCTTCCCCGGCAAAAGCTCTCGACCTCGTCCTCCCGAATCTTTCCAATGAAATGGTGGGGCTCGTCAGTCTTCTGAGACTCTCGCTGGCTGAGCTCTCTGTCAACTGTGTCAACCCTGCCGCGAGATCTTCCGCATTCCCTCGGGGTAAAGCGGGTAAATTAATAGTTACTAAAAGATTCACATCCTTGTTTCTGGGGTACCTTGGTAGGAGACCATCTCATGTCTACTATGCCCTGGTAGGAACCGGAGGATTGTCGACTTGATAGGTAAACCAGTCCAGGTGTTCATCGAAGTACTAGTATGTATGTATATATGTATGTTGGACGAAATGTCATTCTAGAGGATGGTAGGTAACAACTAATATATCCTTATTGGTGTCTATTGGGGGTTAATCCCTCGCCCGGTTGATTTTGCTGTGTTGTCCCGAAGGGTTCACGTCAATTCATTCAAAGGTCTTTGAGAGTCTCGCTGGAGACTACGTATCTGGAAATTTCCATATTGCGTAATGGCGAAAATGTGGTACCCGCTGACACCTTGATGCCTGAACATCCCCGGATAATAGATACTGCGCAGCATCCTTCAGGCATCAACTTCATGTGACCTAGCTGGGTATCCCATGTTGGGGTCAGGTGACCTCATGGCTTAGTGGCTCCGTAAGCTCCTCTAGAGCTGATGATAGCATTGAGATCAGATACCCCAACGAGCCATCCGCGGTCACCATCTCTGCCATCTCTATCTCTCCCGCGTATAATTCCATCCCATCCGCCCCTGAATCTATAGTTTTCTTTCCGAACCGTTTCCGTCCGATCATCTGTGAGGTCTCACAATGAACGGCGCTGCTGACCCGGAGAGAGAGCAGGCGCTCGAGGACTACAAGAAGAGCCTGCTGGAGCTCCGAGAATGGGAGGCCAAGCTCAAATCCCTTCGGATGGGAATTAAGGACTTACAAAGGGAGTTCGATATCTCAGAGGAAAACATTAAGGCCCTACAGAGTGTGGGTCAGATCATCGGTGAAGTGTTGAAGCAGCTGGATGAGGAGAGATGTACGTTTATTCGGTGGTTGCTCCCACAATACTTTGTTTTCAACATACAAAACTGCATACAACTCGTGATGAACAGTGGTCTGCTTCACTCTACATTTTCCAGAGGCTGACTTCAAACCATAGTCATTGTGAAGGCATCATCTGGTCCCCGTTATGTCGTTGGTTGCCGTTCGAAGGTCGATAAGTCAAAACTGAAACAAGGGACTCGTGTCGCCCTTGATATGACAACCCTGACGATCATGCGGATGCTGCCCCGGGAGGTCGACCCATTAGTATACAACATGTCTTTGGAGGACCCAGGACAAGTCAACTTCGCTGGTATTGGTGGTTTGAACGAACAAATCCGAGAGTTACGAGAAGTGATCGAGTTGCCACTCAAAAATCCCGAGCTTTTCCACCGAGTTGGCATTAAACCACCCAAGGGTGTCCTCCTTTATGGACCTCCTGGCACAGGAAAGACATTGCTGGCACGTGCTGTAGCCAGCTCGATGGAGACCAACTTCTTGAAGGGTGAGCGCATTATGTTTATTGGGAATTCAGGACGCCTTTGCTGACCATTTGAAGTTGTTTCGTCCGCTATCGTCGACAAGTACATCGGTGAATCTGCACGGCTAATAAGAGAAATGTTCGGATACGCCAAGGAGCATGAGCCTTGTATTATCTTCATGGATGAAATTGACGCGATCGGTGGTCGACGATTCTCGGAAGGTACATCCGCTGATCGTGAAATCCAACGGACGCTGATGGAGCTTCTTAACCAATTGGATGGGTTCGATTATCTCGGAAAGACGAAGATCATCATGGCTACGAACAGACCTGATACTCTTGATCCCGCTCTATTGCGAGCGGGTCGGTTGGACCGCAAGATTGAGATCCCTCTTCCCAATGAAGTTGGTCGCTTGGAGATCTTGAAGATTCATTCCAGTACCGTCCAACTCGAGGGTGATATTGACTTTGAGAGTGTCGTGAAGATGAGTGACGGTCTCAATGGAGCAGATCTACGCAATGTTGTCACAGAAGCGTATGTAATTTCATTCCTACCCTTTTGTTTGTGGTTGATGTTTCTGACATTGAAGCATAGTGGTTTGTTTGCCATTAAAGATTACCGGGACGCCATCAACCAAGACGACTTCAACCGGGCGGTGCGCAAGGTGGCGGAAGCTAAGAAGCTGGAAGGCAAGCTGGAGTACCAGAAGCTTTAGTTACATAGATTTCTCCGAGGATGACATTACAAAATCGGTCATGTTTAGATAATGTGCAATCGGTTTCACGAGCTTTTCATGATGCTCTTTTATTTGGGAGATTACGCCCTGTAGGATGGGGCGCATAGCGTTCGTGGTTGGATTCAAGTCTTGGTTTGGTCGTAGATCGCTAACTATTCATGAGAGTTGCAACTACTTATCAAAACGGGTCAAGAACGCTCTGCAGGTACTACCTTGAGCGAATCTCTTTTTTTATCTTTTGCTATTCTTCCCATGGAGTATTCCCAGGATTGCGAAAGGATTACGAATATCTTTCTAGCCACTGTAGATCAAGTATCCCATCTTGGACGGGCAGACGTTGAGAACAAGCTGACTGTTGTATATCAATACCGTTTAATAAAGCGAAAATTTTAGAAATGCCCTTGAACTACCTACTAGCACCTACTGTAGGTAGATATTTCGTAAAGAATAGCTGGGTAATCGCCAGGTGGCCAAAGTATGAGAGGCAAGAAAGACAACCTTCCGTCAAAGGGTCCATTTGGCTCCGCTCTGCATATGGGCGGGTCTTGTGAAGACAAACTCGAGGAGTACTGTGTAGGTCGTCCTTGTAACTATGTATACAGACACCTATGGTTCGCAATCAGAAGGTGTACATGAAGGGTCGAGAATGAAGCGCGACAGAGATTCTCCGAATTATTCATTCTCTCTGTGGTTTATGATCAGCCTGACTTACTACCTCACTCAGGACACGGCATTTTATTGGCAGAATTCCAGCATTCACCAGCGGTCTCCACTTGTTTCATGCGTGCCCTCTTACTCTTATAGTTTTAAATCCCAAAATAATCCTCCATTGCAATCATTGTTTAACCCGCAACTCCAAACAGCCCCAAATCCCGACCCTCGTGCTGCGCACCTCATAATTTTATTTCTCTATTGGCCTTTTTCATGAGTAACGAATTGTAACGCGCTACAAAACGGGTTGCAACAGGCAATCGAGTACAACGCTGCATGCTTGGTTAGTTGTTGACACCTAGCTTCAACCTGTCATTATTACTCTGTTCAACTGCCGTGTGAACCAGGGTTGTAAGCAATATTTCTAACATTTACCTCCCTCATTCATGTAGGATTTATTTCTCCGGTCCCCAATTTTGCCTTTAGATAGCTGTACCTCTTCGTTCAAGAGTTGACACCAATCGGTGGACAGAGGAAATAAACAATCATTGCTTCACGAAGTTGAAGAACACGCTAGTGCCTATGCCGATTGACTGTTCACTTTCTTCGCCATAGCGAGTGGGTTCCGCAAAGGCCACCTCTATCTTACACGAGCTAGAACAAGTGACACAAGGGCCCACGGCTATGTCCTTCCACTACCCTCCCAGAAACCCGTCGCTTTCTCCCCAGCCTCCCCTTGAGAATAACTCCTGGCGTACGAGTCGCAGCCGGGACCAAAGCTAGGCGGATACGGACTTTCGCAGCCCGCTGGGGTGTCTAACAATCTATCCACGTTTTTTGGCGACGGTCGTACCCTTCCCATGTACAAAGATAAGCCCTACTTTGCGCCTCGGCGCACGGGCCCAAAAGTTAGGCAAAGGAGAGTTCTCTACGGCGGACTTTGTCTATTCTTTCTAGTGTCGCTGTGGTATTTTATGTCTGGTAACTGGGCCAGTTCTGAGATAAAGACGCCAGAGTCGAAGGAAGGGGAAGAGCTCTGGGTTTGGGTGCAGAGCTTGGACAAGGAACCGGTCTACAATGGTGAAGAATTAAAGGGTATCGACTGGGCGGCCAGGCGAGAGAAAGTTAGGGATGCATTTATTGTTAGCTGGGATGACTACGCGAAGAATGGGTGGGGTATGTTTTGAGGTGTCGGTCCCTATGCAGTCAATAACGATATACTAATGTTGGGCAGGGCTGGACCAATATCGTCCAGTTGCTAAGGATGGCAAAAACATGGTCGAAGGTGGATTGGGCTGGATAATTGTTGACGCGCTTGACACGATGATAATGATGAACCTCACGTCACGGGTCCAGCATGCCCGTGACTGGATTCATCATTCGCTACAATACAATCAGGACCATGATGTCAGCACCTTTGAAACAACCATTCGCATGCTAGGTGGTCTCTTGTCAGCACATTACCTTTCCACCACCTATACAGATCTGGCTCCAGTCTCGGGCGATGAGGACTTGTACATCGAGAAGGCAACCGACCTCGCAGAGCGGCTATCGGGAGCGTTCGAGTCAAACTCTGGGGTACCGTACGCCAGCGTCAATCTCAAAACGTCGCAGGGGATACCGGCACATTCGGATAATGGCGCTTCTTCTACAGCCGAAGCGACGACCGTGCAGCTGGAGTTCAAGTATTTGGCCAAATTAACCGGGGAAGCAGAATACTGGCGGATGGCGGAGAAGGTTATGGACGTGGTGGATGGGTCGAAAATGGAAGACGGTCTAGTTCCCATCTATATCTACCCAGACACTGGCAAATTCAGAGGGAAGAACATCCGCCTCGGTAGTAGAGGCGATTCCTACTATGGTACATTTTTCTCTGAGATTCCTCTGTCATTGTCCAATAACTGACACATCTCCACTAGAATATCTCATCAAGCAGTATCTCCAAACATCGGAACAGGAGCCGGTCTACAAGGAGATGTGGGACGAAGCTCTGATTGGTATCCGCAAGCACTTGATTGCGTATACGACGCGCGCCCAGTTGATGATTTTGGGAGAACGGCCTGAGGGCCTAGAAGGAAAACTCTCGCCCAAAATGGATCACCTTGTCTGCTTCTTACCCGGAACGATTGCGCTCGGCGCAACCGGGGGGATGCTACTATCGCAAGCGAAACAGTCTCCCAACTGGAGTCAACGGCATGACGAAGAGATCCTCCTCGCCAAAGAGCTCATGAAGACGTGCTGGGCGACCTACCTCGCCACAAAGACAGGTCTTGCGGCTGAAATCACCTACTTTAAACTGGACAATCCCCCAGTCATGATGCAAGATATGTACCCAGAATCCACTCTACTCACCGGCAACCGAAAATCTCAACAAGAGGACCTTCCCCTGAAGTCCAAGCCGCTCTACCCGTTAGACGATAAAACCCTTAACTGGGAAAACGATCTAGACATCCACATGCAAGACCGACACAACCTCCAACGTCCCGAGACCCTCGAATCTCTCTTCTACATGTACCGAATCACCGGCGACGAAACCTATCGTCACTGGGGGTGGGAGATGTTCAAGTCATTCATCCGACATACCGCTATTGTCGGACATGACAACCATCACTCCGATCCCATATCCAATAAGCCAGCCGAGCCAAGCCGGTCGCGAATCATTAGCTTTACCTCTCTAAATAACGTCAATGTCATCCCGCCCACCCGCAGAGACAATATGGAAAGTTTCTGGATGGCAGAAACCCTTAAGTACTTCTATCTCCTCTTCTCGGATCGCGACTTCATTCCACTCGAGGAGAACGTCTTCAACACTGAGGCGCACCCATTCCCCCGGTTCAAGTTAGGGGGAGGGCTGAAGACGGGGTGGGAGCGGAAGAGTAATGGAGCTGAATCGGTGCCGGAGTCAGCACCGCAGGAGCAAGAGCAAGGTCCCTAAGAGGGATGTAACGATCACTGTTTTCTATGTAGCTATTTGGGTACTGTCTGGGATAGTCTTTGGTCGGAGCACTTTAGCGTTGGATTGGTATGCTACGTACCTTGAACTGGTATTCTCTATATCTTTGGCTATGGGCCTAATGCTTGCAACTTTGGATGGTAGATAAGATTCCTTGAGACTAAATAAATATTAATCGTCTTCGTCATTGATAGATTTCGTAAGGCAATCATATTTCGATCTCAAGCAACCAGGGCATATATGCTCTGTCTAACTCCTAAATGGGATGCATGGGCATATAACATCGCACGCAGACAGAGGATCAAGCTTCACGACGCTGCAAAGCCGCCTCGATCAATCTCCGATACCCACGAACAGCCTCCTGCAGATCCCCAACGGTTATAGCTTCATTATCACCATGCGCAACATGGATACTGCCGGGGCCATACAGGTAGCGACGAACGGGGCCGTCCTCACGCTCGTGGATCTGCAGGTTCGGCACATCCGTGCCGTAGTTTACCGTCGTGATGTTGAATCCTTCAACGTCCGTATCCAGGTCCTGAGGGGGGTATCCTTCGTTGCGGGTGCTGAACTCCGCATACACATCGGGGTTACCATCCGTGGCATCGCGCACGGCCCGTCGGACGATATCCCGTGCCTCGTCAGGGGTGCCCGCGGCCAGACGCACGGCAACGTCAGCGCGAGCAGTGGCGGGGACGACGTTGGCAGCGACGCCAGCGTCAACTCTGCCGATGTTGACGGTTGTGTTACCATATTTCGGGCTAGAAGGGAGACCGCCCTTGTCGGCGGGGATGTTGCCCAGCTGGTCGACGCGGGAGAGGGCCGGGAGGACGGCGGAGATGGCACTGCGTCCGAGCCAGGGGTATCCGGAGTGGGCAGCGTGGCCTTTGGCGACTATTTCGAAGCCCAGCATGCCCTTGTGACCGGAGACGAGGGCGAGATCGGTGGGTTCACCGAAGATGACAGTGTGAAAGGCGGAGGGAGCTGGGTTGAGTGAAGACTCTGAGAATGCTCTCATGCCGTCTCCACCGGTTTCTTCGCCGACAACGAAAAGTAGACCCAAGGGTGCACTGGGATTTTGCTCAAGGATATCAAGAGCAGCGAAGACTTGGGCTGCGACGCTGCCTTTGGCGTCGACGGAGCCGCGACCGGAAATGCGGATCGTGGACGGATCATTATCCGTTGTCGAGTCGGTGTCCAAGGAGTACGGGATAAACGGTGGGACAGTGTCAATGTGGCTGGTAATGAGAATTTCTGGGGTAGTGGAAGGCGGGTAGGCAAAGATGTTGAAGCGCTCTTGGTTTTCCGTTTGGGAAGACGAAGTTACTAACTGCTTGATGACGGTGAAGTTGCGGGCGCGGAGAAAATCGGCGATGAACTCCCCGACGTTGTGCTCGTTGCTAGAGATGGATTCAATCTGCACAATATCTCGGTGGAAGGACAGGAAGGGCGAGGCATTGATCACTTCCTCAGCGGAATTGAACGTCCCTGTTGATGGTGACGATGTCGTCGCCACACCCAAAGGTGATTGTGGAAATGCGGGGTGCGGAGAAGCCGCCGTGAGGGCGGCGCTCAGCAAAAGCGAGTAGATGGACTTCATGGAGGATGACTTTGGGCAGGCAGAATATTGTCTGTCCAGTAAATATGATTACTTGGTGATATTGACTGAAAGTGGGACAATGACGATGCTATCTCGAGTCCTACGTAAATGGCGCAGGGAATTGGAGTTCCTGTTCCGAGGCTCCAATTTACGTCACGTGTGGCCGGAGAAGTACATATACGACCGTCCCGGCGGATTGATTCCTGTTTAGGAGATAGTACTACTACACAGCAGTAGTACCTACTGCGCAGTAGTAATGGACCACTACGACGACTAAACTCCGTACAGTTAGCCGTCAACACGACCTTTCATATTGCGCAATCGTGACCGAATACGGTCAACTAACGCCAATTGACTGAGGAGTCAATGCCTCGTCCCTGCTAGTACAGAGTTCTGTACGACCAACACGGTAGATCAATTATGCTTCATCAAATGCCGAACGCGAGACGATGATCCTCACATATGTACATACTCAGTACTCCGTACCCCGCATACACAGACAATTGTCGCGATGGATAAATCAAGTCGATATATCCACGGACTCGGCTGGGCAGTGATTACCAAGCTCACTGATCTAGGTTTGTCATGGAAAAAGTGTTCCAAGCCCGAGTTCGGGGAATCGGCTTTCTAGAAAGCTGACACCAGTTGCCAAGCGCGTCGGAACCAAAGACCGCCCCCAACTGGAACTCGTCCGGGCGAATATTCTTTCCGTCTTTATTAGGGTTTGGAAAAGGCGTCGGGTTGGTTTCTCATTCCGGCAACCCAGTGAAAAGAGTTCGAGCCCATGAGGACTGAACCAGATTCTGAAGGTTCCCTTCTGCTGGCTCCAACCATGTGGGCCTAACGTCGGCACCACAAGCCTCAAGTTGCCTCTGGGCGCGATGCGTCACCAAGCAACCAGGCTTCTCGACTGACAGTGCTAGACATGATTCCCTGAGAGGGCAGGTGTGGAGGACATTCTCCATCTTAGGGTGCGGTGGTACTCTATTCGACACATTAGATATGGTACTGAAAAGTACGTGCATACAGGATACCCTGGGTAACTAAGACCAGCTTATTGGAGCTGGCAGAAACATGAGCGTACATATATACTCCGTACGTTATGCATCATTATCCTGTCTGAGAGATGGGAGCGCTTTTGTCCAACCACCCTTGTCTCGGGACTTGGCCGATGGAACTGATAGGTCATGGTACTTTCGTCCCAGGCAAAATGACGATGACGGTCGCGCGGCGTTAGAAGGAATCCACCAGCCCGCTGGAGCTATGTCAATCCGATGGGGTCCTGTGCTCGACCAGTCGAGGTCCGTCGGAGTCTAGACAACGGCCTTTGTTCTTCTTTTTTTTACCCTACAATTAGTTCGTCACTGAGTCCCCTCTTCGCTTGAATTTTTTTGGGGGGGTGGGAAGCCGTTGGATCTCGCGGGTAGACGGGAATCGGTTCCTGTCTCTAAAGTATAATTTCCCTTCTCTGATCAAATCTAAACCTTTTTACTTTTTTGTTCCTCTGATCTGAGATCGTAGTGGCTATGTACCGCATCTTTTATCCGGTCGAAAACCAAAGAACAACAGAAGCAAAAAGAAAAAGGTAAAAAACAAAAGTAGAGAAGAACCGTGGCAAGGTGGTGAACGGAACCACTGAACTCCCACGGAACTGGGCGGAGCCAACTAAACTGGGCGACTTTTTGACGATCCTCCATATCTCTCTTGCACATCGGCATGGGAAGGAAATCAACATGCTTGCTTGAGGTTGGGGGCTGTCAGATTGGTAAATCAGTTCCAAGAAATTAAAAAGTAAAAATAAATAAGTAGGAGAAAAAGAAGCAATGATCCTTGACCGTGACAGGGACTAAAAACAGAATGTGAGGGGAAGAATGTGAGAGAAACAAAAGCCGAAGAAAAAAAGAATGAAAAAAAAATAAAAAAAATTCAATTCAATGAGGGCCAAAAAAAAAGAAAAAAAGAACGACCCCCAAGTGTTGGATATCAAAAGTTGCTCCCTCTCAGAATTTTCATTGGCCGATCGAAGGAGATTCGCCTCTGAACAGGGTTTGTGATTTGATAGCTATTCTTGTCGTCTGAGGAGAGCATTCAATGAAGAATTCGAGATTCCTCTCATACCGTTGTCCCATTTTAATTCTATACTTTCTCTCGTCTCTGCCTCGGGTTACCTCTTGTGTTGCCCTCTCTTTTCTCCTCTTTTCTCGTGCCATTCCTAACAACCTTTTCTTCCCTCCACTCGTCCCAAAAGTTCCAGAGATTCCTGGCTTGACTTGCCGTTTTAGGACAATCGCCTCTCTCTCTGGAATTCGATTCTTTGATCCGCAACTCTCGATTGACTCACGGCCCGTTGATTCCGTGGCTGCCCTTACCTCTACGACCTCGAGATCGTTGTTGCATCGTTCGGCTTCCAGCAACGGGCTCTGATTGATTGCAGCGCGCACTGAGCTGTCAAGTGCCTTTTGGCTTTGGGCCTCACGAACACCCCGCCAGCTGTTCGCGCGGCATCCACTGACGTGCTCCACGTCTTTCATCCTGCCTGCCCTACCGCCTGTGATTGTCCTTCCCCAGCCAGTCAGCCTGACTGACTGCTTATTCTTCTTTTCTTGCGCTTACCAGTTCGTTTGAAGCGCATATTCTACCTGACTCAAGCCCTGGGTCTTTTACTTCAGGCATCTGTTTTTAATCCTCTCTGGATATCGATTCACCGCCACGCCACGTTTTTATTTTTCCCACCGGCTTGTAAACAATCAAGAGTCATTTTGTCTACGCTTTGATCCATTCAGCTGTGATCTCTGCCAACTCTTTTTCTTTTCTTTTTTTTTTTTTTTTTTTCTTCTTCTTCTTTCCCCCCCTGCTGCCTGAAATCTCAATAGGAAAAAAAACGTATTGGAAGAAAATCAGTGGACAATGCGTCTTCTTCCTAATTGAACTCGAACCCTCTCCCCTCCCTGCGTTTCGCATCGCTTCTCCTCACGTCCACTCTCTGCACGTGAAAAGGCAGCCTCACTATTCTGGTCTCCAAAACCTCTTCTACAAGAACACGTCCTTTCTGAAATCGTGCACCATGTTGAAACTTTCCCAACTGATAGACACCAAAGAGCGGGATGGTTCCGAAGTCATGATAGAGTCATACCGACAACCACCACAGTCACCGTTGACAACCACCTCGTCGACGCCGGTCTCCCCCGCCGTCTCTCTCTTCTCTGCCAAAGGACATACCCGCTTTTCGAGCTCTGTGTCCTCGTTGGTCTCCTCGCCGGGCCATAGTAGCTCGATGGAGATTACCTCCAGGAATCCCTTGACAGGAGTAAAGGAAGAGCCCTGTGGGGCCCCAGCTAGGGATCTCGAGGAGGATTATTTCCGTATGTTGTTACCCTTGCTCCCAGCCCCCCGTTGTCGAGTCTTTTCTCCGATTGTACTTATACAATTGTATTGACCAATACAGAACACTTCGATCACGATCTGTCCGAGTTTGAGGGCCCGTACTTTGCTTCAGTCGATTACGCGGACGAGTACGATCTCACGGATGCCGGCATGGACATCCTTCATTCGCCCAAAAAGAGACGCTCGGATAGTGTCTCCGCCAAAGGTCTGTCGCGGATCGGTTCACGCATATCAACTATTTCGAACCGCTGGAAGTCTAGACAGGGCTCTGATGGTTTCGATGCGTTGGATGCCTTCTCAATGAGGTCCCGCACCAATTCTGCATCCTCTATCCTGGCTGGCCCTACTATAGTTCCCGTCAGTCGAGTCAATTCCGTTACCGTGCCACCTTCACCCGCCAGGACGATCTTTGAGGAGCGACTCAGTGAGTCTGGGGCCCTGCCCATTGATATCGCAAAAGCAAATCGTCACAGTCAGGACAATGATGACGCGAGCCCCAAAGCGACCACCCCCCTGCTACCTCCATTCATGGGCGACCAGCCAACGTATCCAGTGACATCTCGAGTTCACTCCCCTTTGCAATCACCATCCGTGGCAGACATGTCGGAGGATGCTTTTGACGGCGCAGCATCCCGGGATTCGCGGTTGGTCAGCCTACCATCGCCTCCGCTGTCTACCAGGCCGTCCATCTCGTCATTCAATCGCCCCCGCGCGAGCACGGTACGACCAGCGTCCATGGATGCACCTCCCTATCTTTTATCGGACCCAAACGACGAGTGGGCGAACAAGCTTGGTCATGCCAATTTTACGATTCAACCGGAGCCGTACGTGCCCGAGGTGTACGATCTCGAATCTTTCCGCCAATTACGCGCCCAGTGGGATTTGGCGCAATGCAACTTCACTAAGCACCTCGTCCGAACGGGTGAGCATTACGGGATCACATCTACGATCTACAAGTTAACAGAGGAGAAGTGGGATTGTGTCAATAATGAATGGAAGCACCACCACGAGATGATGCTCTCCCAACTAGAGGCCACAGAAGGACATCGCCTACACCTCATCGGGTCTCAGTGCGACCCTTGCGAGCAGATCAAGCTTCCACGTCTCCATGATGAGAAATTCCCCGAGCTAGGTGATGGAGAGATTGTCGGGCCCATGAAGATTGCCCCAGCCACCAGCGGGTCCGGGCTCTGTCGGAGCCAGTCGTTGAAACGCAATTTCTTCAGATTCTTCCAGGATCTGATGTCACGATCTTAGAACCCTTGGTCTGTCTAGTCCTAGGGGCCAAACTACCTTGATGACCATAGAATTACCGCGAGAGGCATCGATGTACAACATCTAATGACTTTTACGCCTCTCGAATGATTGATTAAGCGTGTGACGAATAATGTCTTTCCTTCTTTTTCCGGTTTGCTGTGATCCGATAATGACGACTGACGACCTGCGTCTGCGACTACTGACTCGCAGTGCGCAATGCCTTCCTTACTATGATTGTCTTTCCCTTTGTTTTTCTATTTATGGAGTCTCCGGAGGCCGTCTTATAGGCGCGTGTAATGGTACCAGGGTTTACTGTTATGGTGTCTTTGTTCTCTGCCCTATCAGCAATACTCCTTGCATGAGTATTGGGAAAGCCACCTGGTCAATCGGGATAAAAGCAGGAGGTTGGGAGAGAGCAGAAGGGAGCTCTGGAGGGGACGCCACCGGCGTTTTGACCACATCGTTCCTTGATATACCCCGAGACATGTTTGATCGAGTTCGCGTCCATTGTATCGCATGGAAAAGTTCGTGTCTCAAAAGCATTCCTGATCTATGCGTCACATGTATATAATACGCACTATACCCAGCATCTTCATAATGATAGGACTAATGTGGGAACACTTAAATCTGGAAGTGATTACAGAAAGCATCTCAGTATGTATAGCTAGAAATTGTTTTGCGTAAGTACGTAGATATGACGTATAATGCCCGGGAAAAAAGTCACTCGCATGAATCTCATACAACATTGACATACCCAGCGATCTGCACACTAGAGTCTCAATAAAGCCCAACGAAGTCCGGACACAACCTGAGTTTACACCCAGTACTGCCTCCAGATGTTCTTCGATTCTTCATTACCGCGGAAGCGGAAGTCAACGCGAACTATATCCTCGAAACCCTCCGCCATCATCGGCTCCTTGAACCGACGCCCGAAATCCCCGAATGCGATTCCGGGAAGTAGAGTCCTGCTTTCCGGATTCTAAAGGATATTCATCCACACATTAGCCAGCCATTATTATGGAGGGGTATAACTGTATGTATATAGGGTACACATATTGTCCAGATCCAAAGGTCTAGCCAGGCGTTTCGGCGAGAGAAAGGGAGGGGGAAAGAGGGGGGTGGATAGAGATATTGAGAGCGCATGATGCTGTACCCGTATATGCCGGGTCTGTGTAACTTCGGATATTGGGGGAAATAGGGTACAAGGGTGGTAGTACAAGTACTAGTACATACCAAGGACTGGTTTGCGGCGCGGACAGCATTATTGTGCCGACAAAGAGCTGAGGATGCAGAAAAATATACGCAGCGAATGGGAATACTGAATTCCTTTGCGACTTCGATCCAGTGGGATCTTGTTTCTGGGTCTGCGTTCGTATTGTCTAAAAAAGCAGTTTATGTCTCCTCCCGAGGGAGGATAGATCAGATGGTCAGTTGTCCGAGTTTCATACTAGTACTCATTGTGGCTGTGGCTTGTTTCTTTTATTGTGGTTGAATGGAAGACAAACGGCGGGGTTGTTGTAGAGAATTGAGAAACGAATGCAAGGAGTTTACATACCAACTACCACAGACCTTCTGGCTGCAAGGTGTTCTTTGGCGACTTTAATACATTTAGGGCGCTGGCCAGGTCTTGTTAGCATTCCTTTTTCTTGATCGTTTCTTGCTGCCCCTGCATGAGCAATGCTCCGCTCAGGGATCCTGTAACAATGCATTGACGACTAAACGTGTGGCGTGGTCGGATTGCCAACGTACCGTCTTCAAAATGTCCTGGTTCACTCGTTCATATCCCAATGGCTCCAGATAATCCCAGTAGAAGGTCGACTTGCCCGCGCCGGGACTGCCACAGAAAATCACTAATTCGAGAGCGCTTTGACGTGAGAAGGGAGGTGAAGCTGTCGGCGATATGTTATTTCCTCAAGCCGTAGGCAACATCGTAACAGATGTAGGCTAGGCTCTGTACTTTGACTTACCATCATCGGTCTGGTCAGATTGCAAATATAGAGATGGGTCGAATGATTCCACGAGCGGCTCCGGCGCGGTGTTGAGAAAAAACTCCTCTGGTGTTTTAAATGGAACCCCGGCGTTTACAGCAAAACCACTGAAGAGTAACGTCAGATTAAGCTATGACCGCTGGGGGGGGGGGGGGGGGGGGGGTTGCCTACCGATCTACCTGGGAATGGTCATTTGGTCGTCCAGCAGCATCCCCAACATAAATCGATTTTGATAGATCCACGCCGTTCACGTCGAAATCATAGTCGTCTAGGAACTCTTTCCACATCCCAATTCTTGGTTTTCGGTAACCATCGTCAAGAGTAGCTGCATAAACACTGAGAGGGATGTCTAGTTGCTTCATGACAGCAGAGACCCTCTCTTTGAAGTTGGTGAGGCTTTTTGAATCGGAGCGCCCTCCTTTCATCTCCTTCTGTAGGCTAATCTTCTTCTGATTCGATATGATGATGACATAGTAACTAATGAGCGAAGCGTCAGTTCCCACCTGTTTATCCAAGACGTCCACAAGTAGTGAACATCACGTAGCGATCGACTGAAGACCCCACATACCCATCTGCGCTCAACTCCTTAAGTCTAGAGGGAACCGTATCATGCCACCACTTCCAGTCCGAGGAGTTCTTGGGAAATGTGTTGCCAGAAGCCGTCGAGACTAACGTTGAGTCCTACGGCACGTCAGTCTCCCACATCGTCCATGTGCTCCCAGCAAATGCATCCCCACCAAATCGAAGGCGGCAACTTTTGACTTCTCTGCAGTCTGTGTATGGTCTGATTTCTTCGCATATTTGCCGATGACGAGACTGTTGTTCACGATGCGCCAGGTGATTTGTTCGGGTTTCTTTTGGGATGTGGGGGTGAAGAATGATGACACCGATTGTTCTGTAAGGGTCAGTTAGTATGAAAAACATATGTAAGAACTACTATAGCTCAGGTAAAGTATTTAAGCGCTTGCTTACTTGTCAGTGTGGATTCAATCTTCCTCTTTACCGGGGGTGGGGAGATGGTCCCAGTTGTAGACGCTGGCCGTTTGACCGAGCCGGCCATTCTGGTGAATTGCAATCTCGAAAGAATGTTGGCGAATTATCGAGGATCAGGTTATGACGTTATGGTTGATGAAGACATAAATGAGCCATCATCCAAAGTTACTTCCATCACTAAACACGCGAGCACGCGCGTTAGGTTCACGAAGTCACATGCTCCAGATTAGATGGATCCCTTTCCCTATTAGTATTTAGTCAACCACCTCGAGATACGTACATGTACTACATCACGCAGTAACTCTCTTCTTAAATAGCCTGAAATCCAAGACAATGCTGTTCTTGGTATGGCAATGACATGGGGTAAGTCTCTGCATGTAAAATTGAGACTTTGTCTAAATGAAAGGACAACCTGTCGAGGCGGCTGTCACTCTTATTGAATATACATACTATTCCGATATGATACTGTCACAGATATACCCATCATCATATCATCACGTCTCACGGTGTAGAGCTAGCTTACACTTGTGTCGAGAGCTAGATCCTAGCGTTTTGGCCATTGGAATGCATGTGTGCGCCGTATTTTCCGGTCCCAGCGTTGATCTTCACGGACGACATACTTTCTACGAAGATAATGACCGGTGTATACTTCTACGTACTAAATTTTGTGAAGCGAGGCGCATAGCATTCTGCACGTCCCCCTTCATACTCCGCCCGCAAGCGAATCGGTGCTGCCCTCCTGGGGAACACCGACGCCGGTTATTGAAATCATGCGAATCGTACTTTGGATACGAAATGATTTAAGAAGTATGCAGCTCCCTAATACAACATGGGGCGCCCGAAAGGCCAAGTCGGAATACACAGAGTTTTGTAATTTGTATTAAGGGGTTATCTACGGAAACGCTGCCCGGGGTATATAATAAGCAAACCTAAGAATCAAGAAGGACGTCTATCCGATTACTTTGCTCGTGTGTCCAAGGAAAGTCGATCCGCCTGTTCCAGCCGGACGGCCGACTTCAGCTGCTCACGGAGTCCAAACAGATGCTGCGACGCGGTCTTCATCATTTCTTGGTTACCTCCATCCTGGACAGTAATAGAGGCCTGTAAGACATAGCTCCCGGTTTTTTCCAGCGGAGACATCTGCTGAAAAGGAGGTAACTGTCGCCGCGGTTCATGTGATTCAGGGTTGTCTGCAGGATAATGCAGAACTCGATGTAGGTAGATGACGATATCATTCAAAATAAAGACATCCCCCTCTACCACGTACTCCGTGACAAAGCTGGTCGGGTAATCAGTAAACGTAATCAATCATACCACTAGCTAGATCCATAGTATACTGACCTATAACCCCAGGCGTTCATCGGGGTGGTAATATTGCCCTTGGGCAAACTAGCGCTGGCCATCAGCCGGGTGGTAACGGCGGAGCGAGTGCCCGCCTCGGGGATATCTTTAAACTCCAGCTTCCAGGGTTGGTTCTCATAAGTGTAGGGGTGGCGCTCAATTTTCCCACCAGAATCAGTTCCCGACATGGGCGCATCGGGGTCACCAGATGACGACGTAGCGGAAGATTGGGCACCAAAGTCGGCCTCGGAAACAGGTCCGACTACTTGTGTATAGAACATGCCACCGTTCAGCATCTTGTTCAGACGCTGCATTTCATTGCCTTGCAAGTCTTGACTGGCACCCACACGGGTATTGATCAGCCCTGGTTTCCGATAGGCCTTGAAGATCAGACGCCTCTCTAAGCGGTGACGGGGTTGCATGGCCGTCAACCCGGCCAGCTGTTGTAGCAGCTCATGGTGCTGGTGCGCGGGGACCGAGGCGAAGAGCAGTAGCTCATGCATAATCACAAGAGGGAAATCAACAATCGAGACCACCGCCCGAATCGGAGTTAAAATCGTTGGTTTGGGAGAGCTCCGCCAGTGAGGTGGTCGGAGTGGTGAGCAGCCGAGAGGGTCAGAGCGGGCGAACCCGGAATTGGAATCGGCCCAAGCTTCCCACTTTTTCCGAGCGGGACACACAATTCGTAATATTTTCTTTTACCTTTTCTTTCCCATTGAGGTGAGAGGCAATACCAATAAATACGGTCCCGTGTAATTTATGGTATCTCCGATAATGGAGGGTCAAGTCTTGGTACCCTTTTGTTTGGGTGTCAAAGGGGAAATGAATCCCGTGAGGAGAACAAAAGGACGTAACAGTTGGAGAAGACGAGAACCAAACAAATCGACGTGAAATCGAAAACTGCTTATTTTAGTTAGGACTAGTAACAAGGTGAATTGGTAGCTGCAAGGCTTTTTTTTTTTTTTTTTTTTTTTTTTTTCGGGGTGCGGGGAACGAGTTCCGAGAGAGTCAGAGATAAATAATCGAGAGATGTGGTCTGATGAGGGGAGGAGGAGGCGCAAATGTACCGCTGACGGTGCAGGGTTCATGAGGAGTTGCATAAGCTTAGGTCACTGGTGACTGAGCACCTGTCAGGGACGCAAAAACGGCTTCACCGGGATGGCGTCTTGGGAAAAGATCGGACCCGAGGGGCAATAATATTCTGGGGAAGGAGAGATTATCAATGACCGACTATTGCATGATTTGAGCCCATCGCCGAATGATCTTCTGTCATTGGAAGTCATCCCACCGATTTTAGTTTGGGGAAGGAAACCCTTAGTGGAACGCATTCTGTCGGCAATCGAGGTATGTACTCCGTATGGATGGATGTACATAGATAGTAAGAATGGTACTCCGTACCCGTACTAGTAGTACACGAGGAACGGCAGTGATATATGGAGGGAGCCATCCACCATCGGTATTCCTCAGGTAACTCCGAGTAAATTACCATACGACCTACTAATTTCCTACAGTAATCCTTCTCCGGACCACCCACTGAGGAGCTTATCAATTGCACCCGCGCTCCAGTACGACGCTAATTCTGCCCTCGCTTCCGCTCCGACGCCGAACGCTCTCCCAAGCCTTTTTCTACTCCTCCTCCCTCCTTTGCCCTCCCACTTCCTCTTCTCTTTTTCTCCTCACCCTCGCGTCCAGTCTTCCAGTCTTTCGACCACTGTATATAATACTCTCGTTACATCTCCGAGACCTTCTCAAAGACAATCCCAGGAGACTGTCAAAATCAGATTATCCTCAAAACGTCACAACTTTAATAATTACGTGCCTTGGCCGCGTCGGCAATAGCGGAACATCCCAATTCTCACGCAATCTCTTCGCCTCAACCAAAAATTCTTCCTTCTGAACAATTTTAATATCTCTCTTACACCATATATTCAAAATGCACGCCACTGCTGCTCTCCGCTCCGCTGCCCGGACTCCTCTTATTCGCTTCCTCGGCCGTCGCTCTGTGCCTCGTATGTGCCTCTATTCCCTTCCTGAGATGCGGGTAAAAAGAGCAATTGAGTTCAAACTAACCCATTCCATCCAGAATCCATTGACCACACTCCTCGTCCTCACCCCGCCTCTCCTACAGGCGCCCTCCCCAACTCTTTCGCTGCGTACCGCGTTAAGGCCCAGCAACACGGTCCTCTGAGCCGCGGCTCGTTCATTCAGGGCTCGATCGGCTGTAGCTCGGGTTCCGCCTTGGGCCCCATTCAGCCTAAGCAGGGAGAATACTTCGACCGTTCTGAGCTTCCTCATCGGTTCCAGCGTCTTCCATGGAGCGAGGCTGAGATTGAAGCCATCGAGACTGGTGGTGCCAGTCTCTTCGCTTAAGCCCTCCTTTGCGTATATGAATGAGGGATGATTCAATGAAGACGATCACAACGATAAAAGTGAGATGACTGGGGTACTCGCTTGTTTGGAGGGTCACTGTTGAACGGAGGCACGACGCAAGTAGCTCTCTGATGTCTTCGATGCAATGCGAAGAACATCCGGAGAGCCCACGAGGCTGGGTTAATCTCACGTCGTCGTAGACTTTAACATCATTAGTCGACAGGGGTTGGGAGCTTTGCACCTGATGGGTCCAGGAGAATCTTCATCGGGGAAATCTCTGGCCGGCTCCTGCTGCTTTTCTGTGATATCATTTATTCGTACCATGGCGCTGGTGGTTGTTACTTCTTCCTTAGCGGTTTTTTTGTTTTATACGGGCGTGTTATATGGGGTGTTATCGTCTTGATGTCTGACGGCGGAATGTTCAGCTTTACAAACATTCACGCATAGATGGTTACATTTGTTGCTGAGACTTGGGTTCTTAATGGCTTCTTCGGTACCATACGGGGGCTCAAAGAGGACAAGGTGTTGAATGGATTCTTTAATCACAGATTCCAATAAATCCAGATTTTCGAAATACCTTCCATTCAATAGGCTAATGGCACGTTTGATAGTGCAAAAGGGTCCACCGATAATCCATGACGTAGCCAACGAGAATAGCAGTAAAAAACTTGCATTGCCTTTCGCCTTCCATCCCTACTCGTCAAGGCCCTGGTTGAATATCGTCCGAGTGCTTCCCCATATCCCAGAACGATGCTAAGGCAACCTTCCTGCAAACTTTTAGGTCTCCAATCGCTATCGAGTTGTTTCGTGAATAGTTCAAGACTTAACATGCAACCAATGGCAACTCTAGATAAGGATAGTTGTCTTGTAACGCTTTGGAAATCACTCTACTTGGTATTGAGCTGTGTTGAGCGAAAATAGACAAGAATAGCCCGAGTCAGGTACCCTTCTCCGCAGTTAATCTTATAATCTGTCTATCCAGGCAGTGTAGACTCTTGTTGTTTGAAGAACTTCCGGCATATTTAGATAGACATATAGCCCAATGGCATGATACTACCCTTCTCTTTCTGGTTCAAATAGTACTTTGTCTTAGCATAGATAGCAATTGCCATGTACCGTATCACCTGATTTCATTTGACCGATTCCTCACTGCTCGACGCAGTCTTATACTTTCTATGCAATATCCTCTTCCCCATGTGGTTCTAGATATCATGGTAGTATTTGCCGATACCAAATCACCAGATGCGCAATGATCCTATGTGGTGCTTCTAGGAACCGTCCCTAACATTATGGCATCGCTCGCCGTAGGCCTCGGGGAATGCTACCGTAATTTTGCACGTTGTCTTCATCCAAGCGCTCACTGTACAATACTGGGCTTCATCAAAGGAGTTTTGAACGTCGGTGGTACGTTTGATTTAAGCATAAGGCCAAAAAGATGACTAAGGACCAACCACGTTTCCTAAATGACATACAAACCTCAACTACTTCATGCCACGTCCAATCGCATCGGTTTCTCGTCTTCCTGATATTTGAATATTCAGGTCAAAATCTGGGGCAAGTGTTTAAGCATGGCTTCAGATGCCAATGGCACTGTAACTTTCACTGAAGTGGACGAGGTCAATAACCCTACTGCTACCTACATCTACTCTGGAGCTGGGGATCAGTCGACGCATCTTCCTCATCGCGATAAGAACAATAGCAAGATTACAGGGCGATTGGATGTGATAGTATGTTTCTATATTTTCTTTCGAAGTTTAGTCATTTATCTAGACTTTGGATGTATGAGGGATACAAGAGAACCTCAAGTTCAATGGATCTTGATCCCCCTTTCTCACAAATACTGTCAGCAACGAGGATCACCATATAACTATATGGCTCCACTGGATTTCCTGAAATATCTCATTTTTATGTTAACAAGAACTATTGTCTTGGCCACTCAATTGACAACGTACAGCACCCCTCCTCCAAGCCTCGGTCATGGTCTCTGCCGTCTCTCACAAGCCTCCTAGTCGACGTGTTTCTCCCTGCTGGATATCCCCACAGTGTCAGTGATGATTATGTCCCGTAGGTTAACTCGTACCCTGATCATTTTCCGTTGTGCGACTATAATATGAGCACCGCTGATATAGGTCGCAGGTATCAAATCTTTGTGAGTACTGTATCGTGTCTATACCATACATGATTACCTTGTAGCCAACAACGAGTCTGAATATGTCTTCTCTGCGGTGTCTTGTCGCTAAAACACGGATCATAAGCGTCACTAACTCATCAACACCCAAGGACTCGCTTCAAGCGTTCAGTAGTTCGATTGCAGGCCTCCTATCTTCGAGAGCAGTACTACAAGGTAAGGATATTGCTTTTTAGTTCGGAACTACCGCGGCTTTATTAACGGCCATTAAACAGGTGTTGGAGTGGGCAATGCGGATGCTTCCCCGACAGCTGCCCTTCTACTTCACATCCTTCAAGACACATCTGGCCGAATTGCAACTATTCTGTTTGCGCATAGGGTTGGCACTGCCCTGGAGCCGGAATGTAAAATGTACCGCCTTGCAGCCGATGTATTCAACGATGCTGCAATGATTCTGGACTGTCTTTCCCCGATGATCCCAGCAGGATTTGGTCGGGTGACTGTTCTCAGCACAGCAGGCGTGTTACGAGCCTGTGTGGCGTCGCAGGAGGCAGCTCCAAGGCAAGTTTGAGTGCGCATTTCTCTCGGTGGGGGAATCTCGCAGAGGTTAACGCCGTACGTTCTGCTCGTTGTGTTTAAGGCTATACCAAACACTGATCTCCTGCCCAGAAAGACTCCTCGCAAGAAACTATCATCTCCCTTATTGGGATGCTAGTAAGACATACTCGAATATCTCCTTTCTCGGCGCCGAGCTGATAGAGCACAGGTTGGGTCCTTTGTCGTGTCTCGCGTTACGAGCTACAGCGCAACCTGGATCTCTCTAGTGATGCTTCTTACCATGCATCTGAGTCTCAACTACGCTGCTGTCCGCTCCGTGCAAATGACCAGTCTGAACAGACAACGAGCAAATATCGTCTTCTCAACGCTACTCGAGTCCGACACGGACCTCGATATTGCGAACTTCAATCCTACCGATCGGGCTGGCCCAGACCTCAAGCATAATAGAGCAACACAATGGCGGATACCAACCCCAGCCCAAGTCTCCAAGCAAGAGAAGATCTTCGAGACGGACGGTATCCTAAAATGGTGCTCGGCCCCATCGACACAATACAAATTAGGCTCCTGCCGTATCGGAGTCTCACTGGAACAATTCCTTGCGCCGTCCGCGACCCGCACGGGACCCGGTTCCCTCAAAACATCAACACCCATGTCCCACCTTTCCTCTCTCTTCAGATCAGAAGACTACCTGTTATTCCTGCACCGTAACCGCCAAGCCTGGGACGCAAGAATCCTCCTGAAAACAAGTAGCACAACCCAATCGCAGCTCAAAGCCTGGGTGCACGCGTTACTGGCTGCACGAGTGTTATGCTCATCCACAGAGGAGAAGCGGACGCAAGACAGCACGGAGATCGAGTATATCTCACACACGATCTCCAAGACATTGACTTTCCTAAACGAGAAGTCTCGTGTGGCTCAGTATATGTCAGCTCTAACGCAAGCAGGATGGGATCTGAACGTTGCTGCATTGGAAACAAGGTCCGGACGGCGAGTTGCTTGTGAGACCCAACCATGACACGTGAACCGGTAGGAATACATACTCTATTCTTCTTTCTCCATATACCAATCTCAACAAAACATGAAATCATAGTCCATGTACGAGCTATCCAGCACGCAAAGAAGAGACCACAGAAGACGATATGTCTAAATGAAACAGCATACCCCAAACCCAGATAAATATAATTCATCCACGAACAAACCCCCACAAATTAAGTTACAAGAATATACAAAAAAGAACAAGAGTGACCAAAAGTAGCAAAAAGGAATGTAAAAGCCAAAAAAGGAAAGAGGTCGTGCCCGGGATCGAACCGGGATTACAGGAATCAGAATCCTGGGTGCTAACCATTACACTACACAACCATTGGTTGATGAGAGGGATTTTCTTATTATAATCTAAAACCATATAATTAATTCTAAAGACTTAGCATTCAATTCCTTACAATGATCGACGAAGTGTGCTTCCCCAGACCCGGAGAATAAAGTTGTGGATCTCGATCTGTACCTGGTAGCTACTGGGTAGGTGGTTTGAAAATAACCTGTTCCATACTTGGTGACTACTTGTATCCGTGACTAGAAACATGTATGTACCATGGAAGTGACTTCTTGGTAGAGTTTAAGGTTGGCAGGTTGATATCTTTCAGGGTCGTGACAGGGACTTGCTTCAATATTGGAATCAGGCTGGGATCTACAGGATTTGGGCTAGTCCTCATGAATAGTGTCTAGGTGGCTTCGTGCACATACAATGGAAATAAGTTTGCTCAAAGAACCCATGGGTATCTCTCGTTGAACGTAAAATGTTAAATCATACATAGAAGAGGGTAGATAATGCAGCCATTCCAATGCAGCCAACAATCATGCCGGACATAACAATAGCAAATATGCGTCAAAATCAAACAAAGGGCGAAAATTCCCAATCGCCCGAAGAAACCAACACAGTAACGCCTCACAAATGACCGCCCATCCGTTTTGGGACCATATTCTATCTTATTTTGAAACATAACAAAGAAAATGCTCGCTCACTGCATAATCACTCGAAACGCCTGCTATGACAATGCTCCCAAAATAATAATTAAAAAAAAAATGCACCATGCATTACACCGTCAACTCATGTCCAAGTCAATGCGAATGAGGCTCAATAACCAAGAGATCAATCATCGGATGCAGTTCACAATATGCAAACCAGGTCGTGTCGTTCTATCACAGGTTGAAAGGGGAAAAGAGATAGGGGGGTTACTATGACCACTAACCCCGCGATTTAGATATCGGTCGTATTGTAGTGCCACAGGCACGGATGAGGTGGAAGAAATGTTGAAATAAGTGACACACGGCGAGTCATTCGTCCATGCCAGACAGTTTGTTGCTCCCCGAGCTCCCGGTATTCGAACGCTTCTTGAAGCCCAATTTCATCCCCATTTTCTTCCATGGGTTATCGGTGCGCTGTTTCGGGCTGTGAGCCAGATGCAGACCGTGGGCATCACTGGATGGAGGCGTCGTCGGGGGAGTCATCGGTTCGCCGGTACTCAGGGATTGTAGACTGCCCGAGTCGTCCGTCAGGCCAGCCGAACAGTCACCACTGCCGCTAGAAGTGTGACTAGAATGGCGATGGCTGGATTTGCCCATGGAAGTCATAGCACTGAGGGAGAAATTTGAGCGGCCCGAGGAGTAAGTCGGAGATCCAAAATCCTTCGAAGATCGCGGAGACAGTCGCCGTCCCTTCGAACGGGCGCGCTTCATGGCGTGTTCGTCGAGACTCGGCCCGGAAACCACGGTCACCTCGTCCTCCTGCGGAAACAGCGGCTCCGCCAATGGTACAACCTGGGCGCTAGCGGAGTGAGCATTCAGAAAGGGTAGGAAGATTGACTCTTCCATTAATTCGTGGACAAGTTTAACGGCGGCACCGAGGGTCTCGGGCAAAGGGGGGATGGTCAAGTTAGCTTGTCGAAGGATGTCGTCGCGGACTTCACTGGAGACATTGATCTCGCGGGGCGATCCGGGAATGATGTAGGCCGTTAAAAGTCGCTGCCAAAGCATCCGCAGATGTTGGCTCTCCGGACATTCAGTGACGATAGGGTATTCACCCAACTGCTGACTGAGAGTGTCGTACGTTTCCCGGTACCGCTTCGCTTCGAGAGTAAATTCCAACGTTTCCAGGCAATGGTTCTGGGAAAGGTAGGCCATAAAAGCACTGAGGGTGTAAGGAGCGGGTGCCGTGTTTGCAAGCACCTCATCCAAAGTCGGACGCATGGGACAAAATGCACCCGCCGGAACGGTCAGACTCAACGGACGTGAACCAGACAGGTCCATGTCCTCGTCTGACTCACTGTCCGAAGACGATGATGTGGGAGAGAGTTCAGGAGTGGAAGTGGGAGTACTATGCCAAAAGTGGAGAGGAGGGTATAGAGTCTTCTTTTTGAGCATCGCGTACAGCGTGCGAGGTTTTTTGGAACGTTTCAATGTACGTTGAGCCACCCTGATTCCTCCCCAGTTCGGGTTGATGCGAAATTCGGGAAGAGCCCGCGGATTGTTCCTCACGACTTTGCAGGTACTGATAGGGCTTGGGTGTCCCTGACCGGAAATGACGGGTTAATGGCGAGGGGAGAGGTTTCAGCCTGTGTTGACTCAGCGGGAGCAGGCGCTTGCCAATGAGAACCAGCGGGGGATGTAAGAAGCCGTGGGGACGGGACGTGTAACGAAAGAAGCCGATTCGGGGCGTCGGAGACAGCGTCGGGAGGGATGAGGAACGCTGGAATTAAAATAGGACCAAGGTAAGTGTGGGGTGGGGGAGGCGCGAAAGATCTCAGTGAACGAAGGGTGAGATCTGTTATCGAGAGAATGGACTGGTTAGTCGTGTGCCGCAGCCGAGATATGGATGTAACATGTAAGGAGTCTTGGGAGAGAGTCTAAAATGAAGAAGACAAAAGGCAAAACAGTAAGACACACAGTACACAGAAAGAAGGATAATTATGACGACACCAGGGAGAAGAGAGAAAGTAGGGGGAAAGAGGTCTAAAGGGAGGTTGAGTGGTTCTCAAATAATAAGAAACGAGGCAGGCGGGAAGGTGGAGGGTGATGTGATGCTGCGGATCAGAGGCCCTTCCAGAGAGTTCAGAATCCTGCACGGAAGCGTCGAGCAACCGGGGGGGGGGGGACGTGGTGGGTGTGTGTGTGGTTTGGGCCCACAGGTACAAGACACAGAGAGGGCGAGAAAGAGGGTCCCAGAGTTCCAGACACAGCATCCACGTTAGTCGGTTGAGGAGACGAGCCAAAGGATGCGAACCCACAGGCGTGTATTTCCGCCACAAATCACAGACGACTAACTTCCCGGTCGATCAAGCGCTTGGCCTATCAGGTCGAGGTTGGCGGAGATAGAGAGCCACTCAGATCCCAGGATGTGGCCCGCGCGATGATGCCAATGAGAGAGAGAGAGAGAGAGAGAGAGAGAATGGATGTACTCCCGTACGGTCACTAACCTTTGTTGGGTGGGTTTATGGTTTCCTGCTTGAAAAAGAAGGACGGTAGAAGATAGAGAGTAAGAGGGAGGGAGAGAAAAATTGTATCGATTGAATATAGATCGATAGGAAAGAAAGAGCGAAGAATCACAGAAGAATCGGGGCCAAATAATGAACGAAGGATTGATGGTACACGCAGCCTCCAACAGGGCAGATCACGTCATATCCGCTTTACAGAGGTATGCGATGTAGGGAAATAGAACAAAAGGCTTCTGAATCTTGACCCTCTCTCTCTCTTCTTCTCTCTCTTGGGTCATGACCCATACAGAAAACAGGATCTGGATGCCCTTGTGGTGGAGAATTGTGAAAATGGATCGTGTTCGTCAGTGGAGGATCGAAATTGATCTCCGTCCTGGAAGTCAATCCTGAGAAGGGAAAGTGGACACTGGAAAAGAAAAAAGGAAAAAAAAGGAAAAAGGTGGATCCGCTTGCGAATTGCAACTGGCAACACAACATCGAGTGCCATAGTTATTATGGTGACGGTGGAGAGAACATTGAAAAGTGAAAAAAAAAATAAAAATAAAAAAAAGAATAAAAAAATCTCTACCAAGTGGAGTCTGGCGTCTGTTTCTCAATCTTGTCTCTCTCTGGGGCATGGGTCTGGGTTTGATGTTTGTCTATCGACCTTATGCCACACTACGTGCTGCCGAACCTTCCATTCCTTCCAGACATGACACATTCGAGGAATGTGGACTAGAAAAAGAAAGGAAATCCCCTACGAAAGGGGGAAGAAAACTTCCAAAATCGGAATGGAACCCAGGGAAAATAAGGAAATTTTAAAAATAAACAAAAAAAAAAAGTAAAGGAAAAAAGCTCAACTTACGACAACACTGAATCAATGCGACGTTCCGCAACAGAACATCCAAAGAAGGAATCTTCCAAGTAAGGGGAAACCTAGGGGCAAATCTCTGCAATGCAAAGCGCTTGTAATGACAAAATGCTGCAGGACGAAGGCTATGGAATCGATAAAGAAATCCCTCGGGCAGGAAGAAAGGAGTGATATATCTTTTTTCGCTGTAGACATGCACGTATGTATGGAGGGATGGGGTGAGGATGTTGTGAAAGTCTGCATGCACCGCGTAGAAATTGATCATACAACCAATTTCATATCACTATGATACCCTGATAAATTTCCGGGGGGGCGGATTCTTCGAAAAGGGAAAATTAAGAATTTCTGACTCTCCCGAGGACTAGAGTTGTTGCTTTTGTAGGACGAGCACCTGATGCAGGAGCTTCTGAACTATAATGTTTTAGAATACTGCGCCAATTCCCGTTGTGGCGACAAGCCTCGTGGTGTCTGGACTCGATCTGTTTGATTTTTTGTTCTAATTTAGCACTGGCGGATAATAAAATAAAATTAAAAAAAAGTTGTCACAAAAAAAAAGAGAAAAAACCGCCATTCCTCGATTCGTTTTCTATGCATTTGGGTATGAAAGATTTAATTTCATACAAGATTGTACATCCAAGGGTACATACTTTTATGACGGAGGACAGGACAAGTACATAA